AAAGCCCCCCCCCATCCCTATTAATATAAAGCCTGGATTGTCCACATCAGCCCAAAGTATTATTCTGCATGTCTTAAATAAATCAGCCAGAAAAAGAAAAAGCACCCACACAGGATTAAATAATTAAACATGTGATGTCCATTTACTGGTTGGTTTGATCTCCCTAGACTTTTCAGCGCATCATGATAGACTGACTCGTAATCTTACCATTACTTATAGTCCAACAAAAAGTTGAAAGTGCACAGTTATTTTATGTTAAACTAAACTAAATAGTCTCCTGTCTGCAGAACTTGGATAGTCTAAATCAGTGGTTCTCAAACTATGGGTGGTACGCGGGCTCCCTGTGGTGGTATGCAAAGGAATCTCCACAATATATATATTAAAACATTCAGCATAAAAGGCCAGTTTTTTTTTATTTTTTGTTGTACTCTTATCTTATCTGGCTTCTATCTCTTGGGTTGTATTTATATCAAATGTTTTTTCCCTCTAAATTAATCTAGTTTTTGCAACAAACAACTTTAATCTTCTCAATTTATGCTCGTGTGCACAGACATAAACACGAGGAGCACGCCTCGCGTTTTGAAAAGTTCCACTCAATATTCTGTTATTTAAAGGAGTTCAGTACTGAATCAACAGCAAGCAGCTGTAGGCCTACATTAACAGATATTCTATTATTTATTGGAGATCAGCACAGAATCGGTGGCAAGCAGCTGTACATTAACATTTTCAAAACTAAAAGCCAGGAGATGCTTCCGTTGTGATGCATTTACAAGAGTGTACGGACAGTCGCTCACCCTCTCTCTCTCTCGCTCTGAAGCTAATGGGATTCTGCTCTATTTTGCTGTCTTAACTATGCACAGGAGTCAAGAAGGATTTTTTTTAAAGGGAGTTTTGCTATGTTGAACGCAGAGCCTTATAATACAGAGGCTCTGGTTGCACGGAGCCTGCACTCTCTCTCTCTCCCCCGCTCTCTCTTTCTCTCTCTCTCTCAGGCACGCAGCAATTTTATGAATAAATGAAAAATTAAATAAGAACAGGCCGCCAACAGTCAATAATAAAGAATATTCTTTTATGAATATATTTGCCTCCTGCGTAAAATGTGTGTAGAAATAGGCCTACAGTGTATTTTAACATCTACCATACTGGTGGTACTTGGAGAGCCACATTTTTTTAGAGGTGGTACGCAGTCTAAAAAGTTTGCGAACCACTGGTCTAAATAAAACTGGAGGTGCTAAATTAAGTTGTCACCTAAAGCTTTTTGTAAGACAGCGCCTCTGGACACCAGCTGGCCTGCAAGCTTTTATACAAAATCTTCATCTCTCTTGCACAACATTTACAATTTGTGTTGTTGTTAGGTCATGCACCGTTTCTTTGTTTATTAGTTGGAAACAAAGCAAATGGACTCAGCAGTACAGGCGTTACCACTGCTGCTGTCAACTCCACTCACACGATGCACATGCTCAAGGAACATTACGCTGTTTGCAGATAAAGCAGTCATGTGTACTCAGTTAGTCCTGCCAGACAGGTTTGTCAAACACACGTCTGACAGCAGAATGAGACCCTCATACAGTAACGCTGATGCTCTGGAACAGCACGGTGAAGCTGTAATAGCTTGCATTCACATCCAAGGTCTTCAGCTAGATAAAAGAGACTCTATCAATAACAGCCGCCACTGCTTTAGAACATTTCAAACTTAAAGCACACAATGTCCTAAAGGCTGGAAAATGACTAAGGTTGAATAAAGGTTTCATACAGCATCTCCAGCTACTTCAGATTTGTGTGTCTTCAGGATTCCAGCATTTGATAAACATTATTCTATAGAGCCCTAACGTGGCTGACATGGTGATGCTTCAGAAAAACAGATTACGAACACCAAAAGGACAAATACAACAATAGGAGTAAGAACTTACTCATCCAAACACTACAGCAACATCAGAGTGAGTTTGACATTCAAGAAATGTGCAACATGATCGACAGAAGAGGAACTAATCAAACGGTGTTGTGCATTTCAAATGATAATGCAAGTCATGAGGGTAACTGGGCTTCCTGAAGAGCCACTGACCACGTGCTTTACAGTAATAGCTGGTTTGTTATCAAAAGCAAGAAAGCATACCAAGGGATTACAACAAACACACACTCATTCCATGTTACTCTACAGCCAACATATCATTTCAAATAATAAACCCAAGGAACTTGTGCTCTAAGGATGATAAGTGCTCAGTGATGCAATCTCTAATCCCAATTATGTTCTTATGCCTTACTGATAAATTACATAACCTACCACTTAGGCCAAGGTTTTCATTTATGAAGGTCAGCCAGGTAGTGACATTATAAGCCCCCTAACCCCCCACTCTGTACAGGAGAGTAAATGTTTTTTGTAACTCGCCTGTTTTGGTTTTATGAAGGATACAAGTTGTGCATAGTTTGGGGCGTGACTGATCTGACTGCAAGCAGCCGTGTTGAAGCTGTTTGTCAGGAGACTTATGGCCTGCCTCTATGTCTTATGTTAGGCTGACTGAAAGTTAATATTTCTAATATCACTCATCACTCAGACTTTGTCCATGTATATACAGTCTATGTTTTTAACACCTGGTTCGGTCACCAAGTATACCGACTTTGCAACGGACTAATCTTACAAGCAGACAGAATACGCCAAAAAGTAGCCATCTCTGAAGACAAACACACACAAAAGACACTTAATCAATGTTTTAGGTCTGGGGTGATGGTAGCACATCGTGAGTAGTCCCAATCAGGAATTTAACAGAACTGTCTTACTCCACAGGTCATCCTATATTTCCTCTTTTCTACACTTTCCCAGTTCATCCACTGTCCCTGCTTCGTCTGAGCCACACAACTGACTCCTGTTGATGTACCTGCTCTCCTACTCGCTTCCTTCTTACATTGTTCCACTCCACATATATTTGCAAGAGCTTAGGTTCAGGAAGGAATCTGGGAAATTGATTTTCTAGCACACACAAGTTGTGTTGAACACTGGGGTAAATGTGGACAATTTAAAACATCACTAGAGGGCCACCAGAAGCAAAGACAGCAAGCTAACTCCTGATTCAAGTTTTTGTTTAAACCAACTGATCGATAAAACCTTGGGCTTACTTCTTGGTTTAGTCTATATCATTAAAGACTTTTAAAATGAGATTCTGTTTAGCCCCAGTGGCTTTTTTTGTAGGGGAAATATCTCATGTTTTATGTAAAATATTTCCCTGTCCCTGTCGTGAGAAACTATCAGTAAAGAGTACATTCCCAAGGGTATTTACTATTCAAATAACAAAAATTAAGAGTGAAAACAAACAAAAGAAAATGTTCCCTTTTCAGTAAATGTTCCCACAAGTAATTTGTCCCATCCCTATTGAGTAATAATTTCCCTGATGTTGGGTATTAAGATAAAAACAAACAGGAAAAACGTTTAAAGTTGATTATATTCAGAGGTTACTTGTATTCATAGTAGTTCCATTATGAATGAGTTTCATTTGAACATTAGGTGACAAAGCCTGGGCCAAAAGAGCAAAAATAAACACCTGTTCTTCTGTCAAAGTTCTTGTTGTTGATGATGATGCACTGGCCGATGCTGGGATACTTCAGGCTGTATCTGAAGCTGTGGGAGCCGGGGTGGGCATCCACGTCCATTCGGCCAGCAACAGAGAAGGTGGCTCCGACCTGAGAGACAACAAACCCATAGCTCAGTCTACACTTCAAATAAAGAGATTTAACAGTGTGAGTTATGCACAAAAAAAAATATATATATATATACTGTACAGCGGTGCGGAAGTGTTTACATTGTGAGTTGGAGGCCTGAATTATTACTGTTGAATTGTTCAATTTATATATATAAAAAAACACACACAACAAAACATAATTATATGTAAAAACTAATATAAGAAAGCTATGAGATATTGCAATAATACTTTAGTAACTAGACAGTCGGTAGACTTAGTAATTAACGGGGACAAACAGCTTCCTCATGACTGTCAGGACAACAATGTGCTTTAAACATAAACACAGCTAACTTGCTAACGTTAAAATAAAAATGGACTCACTCTTGGCCATCGCCTCTTCTTGCGTCTGTGGCGTCTCCTCCGTTTGCAGACATCTTTCTCTTACTAAAAAAAAATGATCTTCGCAGCGATATTAACGCCCTGAATGATGCACAGCACACCCAGTAAACAAATGATGCTAAGAGACAGACGAATTGCGCCCAACTGCGCCGCTGGTAAACAAAGATGCTGATGTCATTCTTGTTCTTCGGAGCTTTATGGCGGGTTGGTGCTGCATTACCGCCACCTACTGGATGTTCTGCTGGTGTCTCATGCTGAGATCATGTAATAGACTGTGATATTTACAGTCTATGGCTGAGATGCTCTTTGTTTTACACACGAACGTCTTCTGAATGAGGGGCGAGTCAAACATCTCCATCTGATGAGTGCCGCTGGTGCTTTTTTATTTATTTTTTATTTTTTTTATAAATGCTAAGATCAAACAATCATTGCTATGCAAAACAATCCCATGTTTTCACAAATTCAAGAGTTTAAAAAAAATTCGCTGAGGTTAGTACTTTGTAACTGATGGTGTTTTAGTTCTTGCTTAAATTTTACTTTTTTAGAGACCAAATTTTAGGCAAAGATAAATCACTATTTTGCACTTTTTTTACTTTTTCATCGATATTAATTAAATTACCGGTAAACTTTTTCTTGAGTGATTAAGAAAAAAAATTAATTGAATTTGGACCTAATCCTCTTCCTAAGATTCTCTGAAGTTGTCTGTAATTATTTTTTTTAGAAAACTAATAGCTTCAAACAGCTACGTTAAAGTACTAATACAATACATAAATACATATATACAATATTGTAAGCTGTAAGATGCAGTTTTTATGACTCATTTTGCAAATAACATAATAAGATTGATTATTTTAATTAATATGATATTAGAGAACGGCAACTTGTGTGGAACAGTATGCGATGCTTCATTCAGAAAAATGGAAAACCATGAACCGTAGCACTTCACCTCCACTCAAACTTTAATATTGTTATCCTCTAACAAAACCCTGTTAAAAAAAACTGCATTGAAGGGCAGAGTAAGTGAAAAGGTATGTTCAGAACAATGACTCAGTTCCCATTCATATTTAAACTAATGAACATGTGTTTGCAATTAGTGCACACTGATTAACGGAATCTTCAAAACAAACTCACAATATGAAAAACTCCTCATTATCCAACATAAAAAGTGGATCAGTTAATTCACACAGGATGATAAATAATGGATGTATGCAAAAAAAAAAAAAAAAAAAAAAACTTCAGTCACTTTCTAAGAAGTGTGGTAAGATGCAGCAAAATGTGTCATGACAATCTCCACAGCGCAGGAATCATAACAAGGACTGAACAATGTAGAAAGTTAAGAAAAACAAGGAAAATGAGGATTGGGGAATGAATTGGTAAAAAAGGATCTAGTGGGAACAAAGAGTTTAAAAGAGTACAGAAAGCTGTAAACTCTTTGTGAAATGTAATGTGCATCAAACTGTATTTTCTTCTCTCTCACACTCTAAGCAACATTAAATCACAGTAAGGAATGGTTCAAGCAACAAAAAAAACTCATTTAAAATAAAGCTACTCTAGCTGATAAGAAGACGGCTCTTTGTAATATGGTACACTCAGCTCACACAATGAACATCCAGTAAAGAGAAAAAAATCAAAAGTGCATCGCTGCCATTAGATTTTCTATCAAAATAACATGTTAATATCACAATCACATTACGATTATATATATATATATATTTATTCACACAGAAATATTTAAAACGTTATGTATTATGATCTTCATTTTGAGTGTTCTTCTTTTAAGTACACTTGAATATAAAATGAAATTTACATTTTCATCAAGCAGTCTTTCCACTCTCATTTTACAAACAGCTACAAAGACAAATACGATGTCAACATTGAGACTCTGGAGGTCTTTTCTTCACACTGTCCTCACATTTCATTTGTGCCACATGTGTACACACTAGGGCACTCTTATTGCTGTATAAAAAAACCTTAATCAGAATTAAAGCTAGGATCAAGAGGTTTGAAGAAGAAAACAACTCAATTTCTTTTCATTTATCCAATCTGTCAACCAGGAGAAAACAAGACATAGCTCTGCTGCTCTGAAGCGCAACAGTTTGACAATGAGCTTCAACATTTACAACTTTAAAAGCTGAATTGGAATAACCTACCAAATTATTAACGGCACAAACTGCAGATGTGAAAATATAAGTCTGGACTGTGTTCGGGATGGACAATGAAAAATAGACTTTTTAACATATTTCATTGTCAATACATAGATTTGAGTTCATTTCACTCACTGTATGATTTCATCCTAGAAGGCTCTTTCTTTAAGTGACTAACAGCTATGCTGTTTAAAGAGCAACTTTACACCCAGTTATAGCATGAGCACGCCCCCTTCATATCAGATGGTGTGTGAACATGACACAATGAAGCCCTGTACTTAAACACAACATTATAAACACAATAGTTGGTATCTTCATACTTTCATTAGTAATTATACACGTTTGGTTCTAGTATTTCATGGACTATTCAATATGGTATCATTTTAAATTAAGTGGGCTACACAGAGAAATGTCATTCGTCCTCACTAATATGAGAACCGAAAAAATGAAATGTCATTCTTATATAGTGAAGAAAGGTCATTTGTTTTTGCTGAAGTAGCCCCTTTTTGCATGCTTTTTGTCAATCATCCTGATTTGAAAAATAACAGCTGAATATTTTAGTAGTCAGACAAACTAACATCAAATGTTTCCTCGTCAACAATTTTCGGGGTTCTCAATTTTTGATTTTGGTAGCTGAACTCGAGTAGAAAACTTGTAGGCTAGAGATAGAGATGACATCTAAAGTCAGAACTGTTTCCCTGTTAGGAAAAAAAATATGTATCTCTTTTTTGTCAGAGCAATTGAAGCTTGAATGCTTTTGATTTTAAGGTTTTAAACTGAAATAGTGAATAGTTACCAGTTGAACTTTTATGTTTGGTGTGACTTTACAGCAGCACTGAGCTGAGGGAGCAGGAATATGTTCTTTGTGAATAATCAGAGTCAGGAATGCAAAGGTAACAACACCAAATGACAGGTAAGGCATGGGCCTAACATTTATATTATATATAGTGATATTAATTAATTATTCCTTTGACAATAGTGCTTTTAAAGAAAATGCGTGATCGCATATCCAGAATATTTTGATGCCATTTGTAAAACAAAAACTGGACCAAGAACTGAACTTAACATGAACAGTGAACATAAAAATAAACACAGATGTTTGAGTCAGTGAAGAGGGAACTCTGAACAGCTGCAATGTTACAACAATGCCACAATATGCTTTACATTGTACTTTAGGAGTCAAGTCCAGATACCCTTGATCCTGAGAGAGCATACTGGGAACATTGGTTGAAGCTGATGATAGGTTAAAGTTCGGCTTGATTCCCCACTTTAGCTGAAGAAAGGTAAATCACCTCTTTTCATCCTCTCATTTGTGCACCATACATGGACCCAGCTGGGATTAGAAGATGTCGGGGCACAGGTCCCATTCAGCTTGGTCCTTTGCCTCCCAGTAACCGCCCTTGTAGACATGCAAGGTCTCTCCGGATACTGGGTCGTCCAACTTCTCAAACCACAGTGCCTGGTGGTTGTCCTGATGGATGCCTGAAAGAAAATAGAAACAATCTTAAGAGGTAGAAGAAGCTATAGTCATTCTTAAGTGGAGGACTTTGAAGCCACTGAGCCTTGAAAACAAATCTGGCTTCAATGAAGTATGCCCTTCTTTTTTAAACCAAAAACAAAACAAAAGAATGATCACTAATTGGCTCCTCTGCCGCATGGAGATCATACTCGCAACTTCTTCCCCAACTGCCCAGGAGTCAGGACCACAGAAAAAGGATCAATGACAGAAAAAAGCTACTCCCAAATACTCAAAAACTAAGTTTGCGCCAATTCTACAGTCAGCTACAGTCTTCTACGAGGTTCACTAGACTGCACAACGAATCTATAGAATACACTTAAATCAACAGGGGGTGCTAGAGAGCGACAGTTATGTTACTTGCTTTTGACTTGCGCTCCATAAGGACCTCGTTGCCTTCAGCTAAGAGAGACCACGGTATAAAAATGTAAAGTTGTGTTTTTAAAGATGAAATGAAGTGACTGAACATATTCAAATGATTGCGTTGGATGTGAAACGTCATGATCAGAATACTTGCTTGTATAAGGGGGAGGAGATGGTCCATAAGAGGCTGAAAATAGAACAGTGACCGATGAATCTTTGAGGGTTAAGACAAAAAATATTGGGAAGGAAGACAGAAAGCCAAACAAAACATGAAATGTAATGAGCTACTTGCATGCAACAGGTGTGTGAGGGGGAGAGTCCTCTGTGTCAGCTTAACGGCACGAAAAAAAGAAAGATGTAAATCCACCAACCAAACACTTTCCTAAATCCACACAAATATCTTGTTTATGCTCATTTTAGAAGTGCTTTGTGCAGCATTTAATGAGCTTGTAGAAAACACAAGGACAGATTTGTTTACTTCTTGTAAACAAAAGGCAACCGGATCTTGTCTTTGAAATCTGACACATTCTGTACTTTCTGTCACATTCTGCTTTTTTCACTTTGATATTTTATGAGCTATCTTTTCCGCACTAAACTAGAATCTTTCTGCCGTCGTGCAACACAAACTAACAGACTTTGTAGAGGCTGCTATACGCTGTACATCTTCTCTTTTTTAAGTAAATGTGAGGTCAAGACTATTTAGAAATAAGCACTTTAACTTCCCATTAATATCAAGTCCACATACATGCCAGCTCTTACTCACTGCTCTGTTCAAATGCTGCACAAAGCAAATTTAAAAGCGCACATTGTATAAAGCTGTGAATGATACTTGCTTTCTTCTGAAACCTCATTAGCTTCTGTGGCAGTCTCCACTGCATCAGCTAAATGATAACAAACGGGTGAAAAGGGATGGAAAGGTGGATGAAGGGGTTTGCAAGACAGTGAAGAAGACCATTAACATCTTCCATAGGAACATAGGATTGTATACTGTATGTGGTTTAGCATCTTGAAGACATTTATTTTGTAGTGCAGAGGTAAAAAGAGACTAAGGGAAGAGTACTTGCTTTTCAAGGGTGAATCATTGATTGAATCCTCAGTGACAGCTTAGGGTTAAAACAGAGAAACAGACAGTGTTTCCAAGACAAACTAAATAGACACAAGATGAATGGACAGAAAAAGATAAGACAGAAGGAATATAATCTCTAAAAGAAGAGATAAGCCTCCTTGTTTTTTTACCTTCCTCAGGTGAACTGGCTACCTTGACAGCCTCCCTCTCCCTCTCTCGCCGTGTAATGCGTTGTTTCTCCTCCAGTCTCTGTTTTTCTGCATTGGCCTCGTCCCAACGGCCGTCCTCCATTAACCGTTGGTCAGGGCGTCTGCGACTGTCTGTCGGCGCCACTCCCTCTTCATGCTCATTGAGCGTCAAGGCCAGTGAGGAGAAGTAGTACATGTTCTCCGCTCCCTCTCTGTAAAGTCATCACCATTAAAGATCGAAGACACAAAAGCCGTAACACTATTTCTACTGGCTGATTTTTTTTCTCAAAGAAGACTATGAAATCTTCTTGAAGATAGAAACTCACGGTAAAGGATTCTTTGTCCAGATTTCTTTCGCTTTGAGTGTCTGATAGACAGTCCTCTGTTTGCCTTCGGTGCCGTTCTCGCCTTTACTGCTCTGCATTACTCTGGAAAACTCCATCTTCTCATCCCAGGTTCCTGATAGCACATAGTGGGCCTTTCCTTCCTTGTCTGTGACAACTCCAGTGACCTGAGAGACAAATATAGTTCTCCGTTAGGGCTCGAGCAGTAGTACTAGTATTTAGTTACCCTTTTATTAGGTAGACTGAAACAAACTAGTTTCATTAACGACTAAATTCAACTTATAGTCCCTTGTTTTCAGAAAACTTGCTCATTGACAGAAAGAAAATTGATGAACCGGGGAGGAAAAATATGAACTGCTGTGGCAGGGCTTTCAGTTGTATCAGGAAACTAAACCTAATGTAACTTAATGTTGATTCTTAAACTGTGCTTTATAAACAGTATTGTGCATCTCTGTATAATCCATCTTACTCTGGAGAAAAAATCAGCTACACTACATACAGGATGTGCTATTTAAGAAAATGAATAATAGAAACACTTAGGAATAACTGACCTTTCTTGGTACATCCCTAGAGAAGTAACTGTAAGGAGTAAACTTCAGGTGGCAGCGATCTCCTGTCTTGTGGTTCACCACATCGATCTCGCCTGACTGGATGTGAACAAAGGAAAGAGACTTCATGTTTGAAAAACTGCAATATTAACACAGCTGAACGCTAAACCAAAGGATCACTGGTGCTAATGTTTTGACAGCTTTAAGTTTACCTGGTCAATCCATAATTTACCAACAATAATGTTGTGTATTGTTGTTGTCACTTTCTTCCAGGAGTAGTGATTGTTGCTCTTTTCAAATAGACACTGAATAGAACCTGTGGATAGAAAGGCAATAGTGTTACTATGATGGTGGTCACTTTGAACCTGTTAACCCCAAAATGTAAATATGGTAATCTTCTGACTACTCAAAGCGCTTTCACATCGCATGTTACATCTACCCATTCACACACTGATGGCAGAGGCTACTATGTAGTGTGACCATCAGATGTAACTAATCCCATTCATACGCCGCCAACGAAGCAGCGAGAGCAATTTAGGGTTGTCTTGCCCAAGGACACATCGGACATGTTGCTGCAGCAGCTGGGGATTGAACCCTCGACCTTCCGGTTGAGAGCCGACGACTCTACCAAATGAGCCACAGCCACCCCAATATCATATTCTGTACTCTATATGTTCTGATGAAAGCACGCTGCAGGTTTCTGAAGTTTGCAGAGCAAGCTACTTGAGGATATGCATAACAGGTACAACACACTATTTATCTTCTGTGCTGCTTTATTCATTCAGCCACACAAGTAGATATTAAAAAAAATGAAGCAATCACTTTCAAAATTCACATGATAAGGTAAGCAGTGTTTATAGGGCAATATGCAATTCATTTGAGGCTTAGGTACACACACTTAAATTCAAATGACACCTCGACAAAGTAGACACTAGACAAATTGTGTTCAAACTACAGAGGAACGTTTAGAAGGTCAGAAATGTGTGAATATGTTGATATTGCCAACCTGATGCATGGTATAAAAGCAAATAGTATTTATATGTACCTTAACACACTTTTATATAGTCTTGTTTTTATATTTAAAACACACTCCAAACAACATTAGGTGTACCTAATTACTATCTACGGTCTTATTTCATCTGTGCTGCTATTCCTGCTGAAAGCATTTTATACTCCTAAGTTCAAACTAGTCACCTTTTTCCATACAGATTCAAATGTTTTCTCTTAAGGTTAGCTATATTGTCTGCACATACTCACCCAAAGGCATGATGGAAAGATATTTTCCTCTGAACTTGCTGGCCAAGGTGATTTCTTGTCTGAGGCTCCAGCCCTTTTCTGAGAAGGCGTGGTGAGCAGCAGCAGGTGGATGGTGACTCACCTGAAGAGAATTGAAAGAAGTGAAAAAATCCAGTAAAATATCAGTGAAGTCTTCTGGTTGAAACTCAATAGTCACTTGTGTGGTAGCGCAGTTTCACAGTTGGTTATAAATTGAAACCTTCACAGCGTTGTTCCTGACTCACCTGTTCACAGAGGGAGCGGTAGCCGCACTCTTTTAGCCTGTCAAGCTCAAATGTTTCACCCAGTAGAGGATTGAAGGGCTTTCCTGTGCGGTGACTGTTGTGGAATAGGAGGAGACTGTAAACGCAGCAACATAACACATCTGCTCCAGAGAGCTCTGACATTTAGCAGCCTTATCCAGCAGTTCGAAGTACTCCAGGTCTTCAGATAGACGTTGCAGCATTGAGAGGGGCTCATTGAAATTCACCTAACAGGCACAAATTAACAGAGAGAAAAAGTCAGATTATTATTGGATGTTCTCACAAGGAAAAAAACACCTTTGACACCAGCAGGAGTTCATGTTTCTTACAGGCATTGGTATCTTTGAGAGCTCCTTTCCAATGCAATTCTTCATAATGCTCCACAGGTTGAGGTAATAGTTGGGCTTGTCGGGGATTCGTGTCCTTCTTTGTCTAACTGGCTCTAGCTCCAGGGGCTGTGGAGACTCTGGATTGGATGCCAAAGACTGCTCATCAAACTGGAGAAGGGAAAAAAATATTTAAGGGTCAGGAGACTTTGAAACAAAGGAGATGAGACACGTGGATTCACATTTAAACTTGCTTGAAAAAAACAAAGTTTACACACATTAACGGACTGATCGTCCATTCCAGTCTCACTGCTGAGCCCGCTGACGTTGCTGCCAGATCTTCTGTTGGACAGTTGAACAAGAATGCTTAGCAATTACGACAAAACAATACATTAGAAACAATAATATCTTGAAGAAAAACATAGTTGAGGTTGAGAAATTAAAAAGAGAGACATATAATAACCTGTGATACTTGGGATCAGCAGGGACAGTAATAAACTCTGCTGGGTCTTCCATAGCATCAAAGAATTCGTTATCATCATCCTCATCACTGGCGTCACCTTTTCCTGCCCCACCTGAAGTAAAACACAGACAGTCTGGTCAGGTGTGTTTGGCAAAGTTAAGCAGCAAACTCTTGGTGACATCAACAGTCAATGGACACAAGTTTGTTTGGGGAGAAAGCTTCACCTTTGTTTCCTAAGGTGGAATTGCTGAATGAAGATGGGAGAACTGTAGCTCCTCGGAAAGCTCTTTCCAAGTGGTTGTGCTGTTTAGCAAGCTGCTCCAGAGTCTCCTCCAGCCGTATCCTCTGGTCTCTTTCAACCTGTAAGGCCTTCTGCCAGCGCTTACTGTGGCTCTGTGCCAGGGAGAGAAAGTCTCTACAAGCCTTAAGGAGACGGAAAAAAAGAAGAGGGATATTTCAGTAAGAGAGCCAACCAAAAATGTATTGCATTCTTCAGCAATTTAACCTTGGATGTCTTACATTAATCATGGCGTTGGAGGTTATTCTGAACAGCGTTGCTCTTTCTGTAACTTGTCTTATCTTTTCCCCCATGTCGCCTCCGACACGAACCGCCTCCAGTTCTGTCAGAGACCTGTGTGTGTGTATGGAATAAAGGAATGCTTGAATAAATAAACTTTTCTTTGTATTGGTTTTACTTCTCTGAAGTAATCAAAATGTCAGTCTGATAACTGTTACCTTTGGAGGGCAGAGCCATGCTTTACAATAAGATCATTACAGGTGGTGAGGTCCTCCACCTTGCTGTTGAGTGTGCGTAGTGTGGACTGGACTTCTGAGTTACGGCAACCGCCACCCTGTCCTGAGGTGGGGGGCACAGCTGGACATTCATCGCCTGAGTCATCTGAGAGACAAAAAAAAGGGGGAATAACATAATGAAAAATAAAGCGTTAAGAAGAAATGCTTTACAAAGAGACATCCAAAGAAATGTTAATTGTACTAAGCACTGTTTATAAATACTAAGAATGTTTGTAATCCACCTGGTGTATTCTCCAAAATATTCACCTGATTCAGCCTGCATGTGGACAGCCTTTGCCTTGGCAAGCTCCAGAGCAGTGATCCATCGCTGGCGCTCTATTTCTGAGTTGGCCTTAAGGTGATAGGTTTGTGCCCCTCCATTGGAAATGACAAAATTACAGGAGTCCTCAACAGCAATATTGGCAGTTGCCAAATTGATGGTGCCTCGACATGTGTGACCCATCTCTGCCTGGCTCCTGGAGACAATAGAACAAGGGACAGTCATGTGGAGATGTCCTATGAGGTAAAGTAGGAACACTTTATTCTAGTAAGTAGAGCTGCTATGATTGATAGATTAATTAAAACAAGAATGCTGATTACCAACTATTTAATTTGATCTATGAATTGATTTAGTCATTTTTTAATTAGAATGTCGAACATTTGCAGTCAATCCTAATTTTTAAGAAGCTGGGAGTCCAGCTTCTTAAATATAAGAATTTCTTTTGGTATGTGAATATGCGGTTGATTAAAGAGCAGATGAGGAAGTCACCTTGAGCTCTTAGAAATCGCGTTCTTAATGAGTGTTGGTCAAATTCTTTTTGACATTCACCAGACCAAAAATGTTTTATTATTCAATTATCATTCAAACAATTTTTAGTTTCAGCTCTACTTCCCTAATATATGCTATAAATCGTACATTTAAGATGATATTGAAGCATTTAATTGAGAGTACTGCCCTTTTAAATATACTGTATATATATATGTTTTTATATCTACCATAGAGAGCATCAGTTTAAAAATAAAATACAATTCTATATACCAGGTTGTCTTCATGTTGAGCCAGGAAAGTACCTCTCTTATTATTTTTTATTACAAATTCAGTCACATTACCTGTAGTAAGACAGAAGTCCATTGCTTAGGACAAACCAGCGTCTCTGGTAACCTTTAATGTAGTTAGTCCATTTGAAGAGCCAGCCCTTGTAGTTGTCTCCAGGGGTTGGGGTTGGGGGCTTGGGCTCCGACATCACAACAGCCTGTGGTTCAACTGAGTGAGGTAAGAGCCTTGTGGAAATAAACACAGAAATATATTTAGTATCCTATCTGTTCAGTCTGCTGTATGTACATCTTACACAGCTGTCCTCAGTTTGCTGCACACACTTGAGTCAGTAAACTGGATTGTTTATGTCAACCCTTTTTTTTTTGGGTCATCACCACATCCTAACACTATAAACATTAAAGTATCTGTATTTGAGATATAATCACGTACTTGGCAGCTTTATTTTCTGTTTGGTTAAAGTAGACGAAACACGTTAAATCGGCAAATAAACATTACACTCCGGATGTAAGCCGTAGCTGAAATACTTGAATCTGAATGAACAGTGGCTGTGGTTTGTTGACAATGTGTTCAATGTTAATGATAGCCTGAATCAATTGAAGCCAGTGTGTCGGAGATTAACATTTTGAGTTCTGTTACCTTATCTTATCTAGGTTTACAGTTTGAGTATAATGTTACTGTCGAATATCAACATTACAACAAACGCCAGAGTAGCTGATGTAGTCTCCTGGAGCACTAATCTTCCTGGCTAACACTGAATGTTATTGAACTCTTGTTTTGAAAACACAGCTCACTGCACATAAAGCTCATTTAAACCCAGTATTTATTGCCAAAATGACAGGCAAGTGATAAACAAACACGTCCCGCATACCACGAGTTACTTTCAGAGACATTAATTGGCCCTTTCCAAACATTAAAGCTACTTAAAAGTGTCGGTCGCGGAACATAGCTGTTAGCTAAACAACAGGAAGCTGCTAACTCAGCTGACACGTCGCAGACGACGCTAACAGTCAATTTAACTCCGTAACTATCTCCGCGTTTCTTTGTCCGACGTTTTAAGTGACACTAACATATTATGTTGTACTCGTGGCGCTTACCTTTAACGTGTACAACTTTAGCTGTCAATTGTGTGCATGCCGTGTTGGACGAGGCGATGTTAGCTCGGTAGTGTTAGCGCTCACAGATGTATTTAACGAACGACTGCTTTGCTACAGGTTGCGTTACCGAAAATAGCGGCCGTAATCACTTGACCGACAACTTTGGTTCCGCCCAGTAAACGGGATATAAACAACCGGAAACTAGTTGAAAAATAGTCTCGCAGGTCGTAGCCATGTAAATAAAGATTTTGTAAAATAATTTTCGTCATGAGTCATGGTGTTTGTTTTCTTATTAGAAACAAAAATGTGCGGTTATATACTGTTGGAAACTATCGACTACACTCAGTATCAGCACCTTCTGTGATTAAATTAACAATTACTCTTTAGTCCAATGTGATTTAATTAACTTAAAACGATGATTTCGATGAAAATGAGGAACATCCTTTAATCAACCACTAACAGCTTTCATTTGAACTTTCATGAACCATGCAGTCATCTAGTGATTGCTTATATATATATTTATTTTCTAATTTTCCTGTCAAATATAAAATGTAAAGCATGTTTAGCTGAAAACTTAATAGGAAAAACTTGTTTTATACATTATTCATCTTGAATTTGACTTAGGATGGTTAAAATGTGGGTTTTCAGAATACATCTGTTTTATCACCTATCATTTATTTATATTGTAAAACAAATTTTACTTCTAAAACTTGTCACTTTCCTTATTAATATCAGGAGCCATACACACTCATACCTTTTTGGATTCATTCTTCTTGCATCAGTTCTTTTGAGAAGTTCAAAGACAAAAAATGTACAATGCCTGTCACAGATTAAAATCAATGCAATTATACACATTACAGAAGCAGTTCAATTTTTCATAAAAAAGTATTCCCCTACTGAAAAAAAGTAACATTACAAGTTACTATTCACCTTATTAATATGCAAAAATGAAAATAAACAAATATATCTCATTGGTAGTCACTTTATTCTTTACTACAACAATGAAGCACACATGAATTAGGAATAAAATTGAAGAAGTTACTTTAAACATTTTGTGTGTGTGTGTGTGTGTGTGTGTTTAAATGAGTGAGTGTGAATATATGTGTATTTTTGAATGACAAATAATTCACTTCTGCCCCAACTTATTTAGTGATGGTGTTTGCATTCATACTTTTCCCACTCCCACTAAGCACAATATAAGGTGTTTTCTGAGACTTCTGCTTCTCTTGAAGCAAAGCGACTGTCCCCAGCGGAGTATCACTGCTGCTCATCTTCTTCAGCAGAGCTTCTTCTTCCAGCTTTTTCATCCTCCTCTCTGTCTTCATCTTTCCAGACCCTTTCCCGTGGAATCGATGTGAAAGCTGCCTGAAGGCTTCTTTGGGAGTGAGTTTCCTTCCAGATTCGTCCACATACTCGATCTTGACATCAGGCTTGTATCCATCCTTGTCTTTGAAGTCTTGAGTGAAGCCTCTGTATTCTTCACGCCTACTGTACTTGTCATCAAAGCCCATCTTGTCCTCAATGCAGTAGTTGTCATTAGGCAATGCGCCTTTCGTTGCTCTGACACGAGCTATCTTCTGCATTTGAGTGTCCAACAGTCCTTTGTTTTTGCACAACAGCAGTGCAGCAGCAAGGCCGGAGCTGACGATGGGCTCTTCATCCAAAATGGTGGCAGAGGCTGTGGAGAAATCGGGTTGTTTCTGCTCTTCATCCAAGTTAACTGTGCTCCAGCCAACATTCTCATCCATTTCTGAGTCTGAACCTCCAGCATCATCCTTCTCCTCCTCTTGTTCAAAGTCCATCATGTCTTCTTGGTCCTCTCTGTTGCCTGACAGTCCGTAAGTTGGAATATCACCAAGCGCTCTGCAAAACTCTGAGGTGGCATTAAAGACAATGTTGTTTCTCTTATCAGGATCATTTTCATTTCCTCTTTATCAAGGACTTTAATCTGTTCTGCAATCTTCTCCCCAGAGTCTTTGAGAAGCAGCTTTTGCCTCAGCTTCCTCTGCTTCTCCAGTTGTTTTTGCAGCTCCTGCTCGGCCTCATCCTCCTCAATTACCTCTGACTCAGGTAATGTAAAGTCTTCGTCGTCACTTATGTCCATTTCTGCGGTCCTGATGTCATCAGACAATAGGGGGATGTTGTGTGAAGGTTCGCTCTTCTTCTTCTTCTTCTCCTCCTCCTCCTCAAACTCCTCCTCCTCCTCCTTTACTTCCTCCAGGTCTTCACCCTCCTGTTTGCGACCTCGACCACGTGACCTGGAGCCAAAATCAGTGCTGCGAGTGTCATCGGGGAGACGCTCAGCTGTCTGCTTCTCCTTCTTTCTGATCTTCCTCACACGGCGCTTGGTCTTCTTAAAGCCCACCATTTCTTGAGGTGTGTAATACTCTGAGGCGATAGTGAGAGCTGGCATTTCCAAAGTCTGGGCCTGATTTCTTAGAGCTTCTCTCATAGCCTGAAGTTCCCGCTCTCGCTCTCCATCGGCAAAGCCCCCAGTATTCAACCGGAAACTCTTTTTCTTTTCACCCTCAATTTCTTCGTCATACTTTGACAGTACAGAGTGTGACTTGAATGTCACCATATCATCCACACTCTCCTCCTCTTCATAGGGCTTATACTCTGGCTTTTTCTTTTTCAACTCCACATTCTTCTCTGCTTTTTCCTTGTCCACCATTCCCACGTTTACAAGCACATCTTCTTCCTCTTCCAGTACACCCTTGTCCTGCAGGGTCAGGATGACAGTCTGACCCTCATTGAAGGAGTCAACCTTGTGCTGCACTTTGAGTCCCTTGAGATCTCCCGACGTGTAGGCCTCCTGTCTGCTTTGCGCAAATTCCTCCTCCACCAGGTTGCTGACACCAAACTCCTCATCCATCTCCTCCAGCAATTTGGCCCTTTTCTCTGCCAATTCTTTCTCTTTCGCCATCTTTCTGCTTCTCTCAACCCACGCAGCGGTGTCATCAAGCCAGTCATCCTCTGCTAGGGTTTTGACTTTTCCCAGTTTCTGATTCTGGATACGTTTCTCTTTCATAGCTGCCAGTTTCTCTCTCATCTCTTTCTGCTGTTTAATGAGAACAGGGTTGATGGTTTCAGCAACTAATGGCTCTTCTTTGGTCCCCAGCTCCTTCTTGTTGTCACTCATTTCCAGAGGCTTCAGACCCAGTTTGGCTCGCAGTTTGTTTGTATCCTCAATGCTGAGAGATGCGTCTCCACTTGCAGACTGAGGCCCCACTTCTGCACTGCTTTCTTCATAACCAACATCAACTTTCTCCTTCTTCACTCGGGGCTCCCCGCTGCCCTTTTCACCTTTGCTGCGGCTCTCCCGCCCGCTCCTCTCCCTGGATCTGGAGCGTTTTCGTTTCTCTTTATCCCGAGTCCCATCTCGGTCGGCAGCGTCTCTGTCCCGGTCCTTGTGGCGATGTTTCTTGTGTTCGCGGCGGCGCTCTTCGGTGTCCTTGTCGCGGCTCTTTTCCTTGTGTTTCTTGGACGATCCCATTGTGTCTTACTTATAGAAAGCCTTGTGTATTACTGCAAAGCGTCTGGGCACTGAGAGGAACACTAGCCTTTGCTAACTAGCGAGCCTTAGCAGCAAAAGCTACGAGGCTAACCGACGTCACAAATCAACTCAAGTGCCAAACTAAAAAAAAAAAAAAAAAGCCAACTCGAATTTGAATCCTGAAAGTACAAGACGACAAGTAAGGTTTGATGGAGAAAAAAAATCTCACCTATAAAGTCTATTTGTCTCAGTTAAACCATCTAATCTCGACGTTCAGGTACTATCTTCGCACCATGTTAAACGAACTATGGACGACAGAAATACTGTTTCCTGCAGATAGACTTCCGGGCAGTGTTGCCAGATCTCGCGAGAGAAACAAGCAACCAGCTCAATTGGAAACAAGCGAAGCTGGCTCCTCATAAAAAAATTAAATGAAGCCCAACAGGTGACCTAACCTACCACATAGTGTAAAAGAGAGGCCACTTGATATATATATACAGTATATATATATGTATATATATTGTCTCATTTTGATTTGAAAACAGTGATTGTGGACGGATCCTGGAAAAGGACAAACTATCGCGATCGTTTTTCGCTTTATTGTGGAGAGTTGGGGTTGAATCAGTAAAGGTTCATACAGGGAGCAAAGCCCAAACAAGCAACTGCACTTTAAAAAACAAGCCCAAACACCTGCAACCCGCGACTGACGATATTTGCAAGCGACTTTACAGGAAAAAAACAAAGTCCAAAGTCGCTTATTAAAAGCGGACCTGGCAACACTGCTTCCGGGGGGAGGGAGCCAACATTAAGCAGGTGGATAACGTGTACTGCCATCTGCTGTGTGGGGGGTGTTTATATCAGTTTTCACATCCCTGGATTCACGAGTTGCTGCGGTTTTGGGACCGATAAGACCTTATTATATATCACATGCATTTAACAACACTCCGAGTTAATCTGTGAAACATTCACTGCAGTATGTGAAGAACTAAGACAACGACGTTTTTTCTCCACTGCCGACCTGAAGGGGGTAAAAACATCAGCGTACCAGTTTCTAAAATGTAAGCTAACTTAGCAAGCGCAGTTTTAAAATAACAATAATGAACGACAGTGTTTTAGCATGCTGCGTGTTGCTCGTCTCTCTCTTAGTGTGAATCTCACCTTTCTCTCTCTCAGCTCGGGGTTTGTAGCCTCGCTCAGGTTAAACTCGAGCTCAGATGTTTTGCTTTCAACTTTTTTTTTTTTTTTTAAAGTTAGCTGTTTTTTTGTTGTTGTTATGAGCAGCTGTCATCAAGCTAGGTAGCATCAGTGAGCTACCCCACCAAGCTTGATAACTTTTTGACTCGTTACCTTGAATGCTTTATGATTTTTGTTTGTCGACGGTCTTGTTTATTTGTCGGTCGTTGGGGTTAGCTGCTGCCGTTTGGGGGATCTTTCATGTTGCCATGGCAATTGTGGGACGGTAACTAGGTCACTAAGCGCTAGGCTAGTAAAGTTCATTCAGAAGATAAAAAAAACAACAACATAATGTAAGTTAATTTTTAAAGTAGAATACACTAAAATGTGTCGCTGAAAGTCTATTAAGCTAACGATATCAAATGTTCCAGCCTTAACCCGCTCAGCCTGGTGGAGTGAAAGTC